TACTTAAAGGATCATGGGACTTAGTAAGTAGGGTTATAATTAAGGTAACTATACTTATATTTACCTATAACCCCCAATTAAGGGACTTATAACCTTACTTACTAAGTCCCATGATCCTCCAAGTATGCCAAGTGCATAGATTGAACGTCGTCTGGCGCCAAAGGAGCGGTTACGAGTTGAAGACCTCGACGGTTTGGCCCACGCTGGGTTGGCAAAAGCAGCGCTGAGCTACACATGCTCTACGAGACTATACTCGAGTGCCGGCACCTCCAGCTTCTCCCCCAAAAGTGGGAGGACCAGGTACAAAGCTCTTTATTCACCGGGTTGAGCAGTCATTCGCTAGCAGTGTTGAGATCTAAGCAGTAAACCTTTGACCGATACGCCGGGAGGCTCTGGAGGAAGTCTTGCTGCCTTTTTTCTGCAATAGCTTCTTGGGGAAATATCCAAACTTTTCGGCACAGTGCATTGTGGCACCCTAAACCCTAAACCCTAAACCCTACTAAGCCCTAAACCCCTAAACCCCAAACCCTGAACCCTGAACGCTAGAGCCTGCATCTGAAGCCTGCAGCGTCAACGGACACAAGCCGAAGCCATCAACCCTAATGTTGGGGTTTTGGCTTTGGGGTTTAGGGGTTTAGGGTTTAGGGGTTCAGGGTTTAGGGTTTAGGGGTTTAGGGCTTAGTAGGGTTTAGGGTTTGGGTTTGGGGTTTAGGTTTTGGGTTGTGGGGTTTAGGGTTTAGGGTTTTGGGGTTTAGGTTTTGGGTTGTGGGGTTTAGGGTTTAGGGTATAGGCCGTGCATTTTGAGCGGTGAGCTTTTATCGAGAGGAGGAAGCGCTTAACTAGATTGGCACTTGGGGTATAAGGATTTACGGGAACCATCGACGAACACTAGCAGTCACTCGCAGGTCCGTTCATTTTCTTGGTAGTGCCTCCGCTCCTGCATGAGAGTAAGGGCACACTTTGTATGCTTTGCGCTTCCTTTGTGTACCCTGCGCGGCGCGTGCGCGCGCAGGTATTGTCTTGATGTTGCCTTCGAACTCACGGCTCCGAACTCACTACTGTGAATCTGGGTTTAGGGTTTAGGGCTTAGGGTTTGGATCTAGTGACTCCGACCCGGGAGTTAATGAATTAGGCCCTGAGTTTAAGCTGCTTGCTGCACTGCACTGCCTAAAACCCCTGAACTGTAATTCGATAGCACTTGGCAATTCCCGAAGAGGGAATTCGTCTTCATGCCTTGGAATGCTGTTTCTTTCGAGGAACTTTGTGATGAAGGCTGCTGGGTTTCGTCGGGCACGGGCCCTAAACCCGACACCCTAAACCCTGGTCTAGCTTCTCAGAAAACCCTCAACCAGGGTCCTTGTTGGCTACAGTTTTACATGTTTATCATAATGAAACCCAATAAGGATCACAAATGATCATTTTAATGTAGCCCCAACAGGGAACCTGAAACCGTAAACCCTGGCTTTTAAAGCTTTTTAGGGTTCGGCGTCGTGGCTTTTTGTCGTGCCCCGGCAGAGCGGGCTTGCGGTCTTAGGGGTCCCAGAGAGCCCGATACCCCTTAATTAAGGAATCCCTAAATTATTAAGGGGCCTGAATATTATGGTTAATTAAGGAATATTGAGCTCTCATATTATGGTTAGTTAAGGAATATTGAGCTCTCTGGGGTTATCCACACAGGTTGTTGGGATGATAGTTAGGAGCCCTCCCTGCTCGACTCGTTTTGTTAAAACAGGTCGCCTGAGCTGATAGTTTTGTTTTGTCAGGGATGCCGGCTTCTCGAGAAACCCAGTGGTGGAAAACCTCACTTCATGTGGAATGTGAGCAACCAAGAAGGTGAATTTCTGCGATTAGGCAATGGAGTTGCGCAAAATGCGCGTCTGCGCGGCAGAAAAGGCCCGCTGCGTCGTCCCGGGGAGGGGCTCTTCTGGGTGGAAGTTCCATCTCTAATATAGACGCCTAAATAATGGCCTATGTTATTCCTAAGGGTTCCTTAACATAGTCAAAGTATAATGGGCCCCGATATTCTAACTGGTAGGGCCCCTAAATAAACCCTAAACCCTAAACCCTAAACCCTAAACCCTAAACCCGAACCCTATTCTAACTATTAAGGGCCCCTACATTACTTCGTAGACCCGAGTTTCAACTCCTTGAGCGCCTTGCCCTGAAGTCGAGAGAGCCTAAGGGTTCTAGCTTAAACCAAAATATTAAGGTCCCTATAACTTGGGCTCTCTGGGCTGTGCCTTAAACCACCGACCCGTCAGCTCTGGCAGAAAAGCCTCCGCGTCTCTAAACCTCGGTTTGCCCATAGGCCCCATAGTAGTTCCTTTTTGGGATTCCCTAATAGGATCCGAAAAATAAGCCACAAAAAGGAACTGCTATGGGGCCTATGGGTAAGGGGTTCGGGCTTGATTAGTACCGAGGCCTGAATAGTTACCAATACCATTTTGGAGGTTCCTTAATATATGTATAGTATAAAGGACCCCCCCAAACCTTATTCTAACTATTGAGGCTTCTACATTAGGTTCTACATTAGGGCACAAAGTTAACGGTTCAGAGAGAGGGGAGCTGAGGATTAGAGATGGAGTCTGAGGTTTAGGGTTCTAGGGTTTTGGGGTTTAGGTGTTTAGGGTTCAGGGTTTAGGGGTTTAGGGTTTAGGGGTTTGGGGTTTAGGGGTTTCTGGGGACTACGGCCCAAAGACACTAACGTCGTGAGCGAACGAAGCAGCTTCCCTTGCATGGAGCTGTTGGGCAGACAGCTGAGGGGCCCAGAATTGCGGCTAGCATTGCGGTAATGGTCGTACTTTCTGATAACTTTAGATATCTGTAACGAGTACCCTGGAAAAACCCTAAACCTTAGCATTATTGCCAGCTTTCATACCATGCTCTTGGTTCTGACTGTTGTGGTCGCTGTTGTTGGATCGGCAGGCTCCGTTCCCATGAGGTCCTGGTAATGACGCCAATATCCAGCATAGCAGGGCTTCGGCGACGGCTTTGATGATGATGGCGACGATTCTGCTGTTGATATTGCCTTGTACTGCTGATGCCGACGCTCGAGGTGGTACTGGTTCCGTGCATGATGATGTGAGGCCAGTTGCGATAAGGACAGGGATGATTGAAGATGGTCAATTCCTGTGGGATGGTAGCTGGGGAGGCGGTGGTTGCGATGATTGCCCTGCGAATGCAGTGCTCAGATGAGATGTACTCTTTCGTAGCAGCTGGACGTTGCTTCAAACCGCGCTTTTTTCAAGTTGCGGGCGTAACATCGTAAAGCCTCCGACGTGCTGTAGGGGCCATGTGGAGGGACATGGAGGAGATCCTCCAACAAATCACGAACTACATGCGATTCCGGCAATGTGGCTCGAGGAAGTGAAGTGCAGCCAGCAGCTCATTTTCCCCCAAAAGGTCCTCCCCTTCTTCGTTTGAAAGCCCGGCTCCCAGGGCTTTGGTCAAGGTTCAGGGCTGGATCACCCTAAACCCTAAACCCTAAACCCTAAACTCTAAACCCTAAACCTTAAACCCTAAACCCCAAACCCTAAACCCTGCTTGAGGCCAGGTCTTCGTGTTCAGAGGGCTTGGGTGGTTTAGGGGTCCGGCCATGGATTAAGGGCCTTGAATAGGTTAAGGTGTAGCATTCGCAGGGCTTCATGATTCATAGGCAGAGAACATCCCCCACGGAGTCCCAAACCCTAAACCCTAAATCCTGACCTGCGGTCTGCGGAGTGAAAAAGTGCATTGCACTTAAAACGAGCCCTAAACCCTATAAATAAACCCCCCTTAAATACTAAATCCTAAACCAACCCTAAACCCTAAACCCTAAACCCTAAACCCTAAGCCCTAAACCCAAGCCCTAAACCCTAAGCCCTAAACCCTAAACACCGCAGATTTGACCCTAAGCCTCTTGCCGTGGGCTTCAGGAGCCTCCACCCCAGAGCCCGAACCAAACTTGGTAGGAGGCTTCGCGCAGTCCCTTTAAAGTAGTGGCATAAAGGGGAGTTTCCGAAAAGGGTACCTTATTTGGGGGTCCTTATAATAAGGATCCTACTATTTAGGGTACTATATTAGGGTCCCCTATTTTCGGAGCATTCGCACAGTCCCTTTAAAGTCGTGGCATAAATAGTTGGGTCGTTTTCAAAAGTAGGGTCCCTTTTTGGGTCCCCAATATAGTACGGCACCCTTATAAAAAGGAACCCCAAAGGGACCCTAATTTAGATAACTACCCAGTTAGACTACTTTGGGGGGTTCCTTGTTACACTTATAGTACATTGTGCCACAAAACTTGTTCTAATTATCGAGGCCCTTAGATTGCAGGGATCTTTCAATGAGGCTGACCAGCGATCCGGGCGTGGGGTGTTGGGCTTGCATCTCTAGCCATGCGTGTCGACTTCTGTGCTATTACACAGTCTTTTGGCTTGGGATTGCGAACATCATGCTATGGATTTACGACTTCTGTGGTCACCCCAGCGAGAAGCTTGCTCCTTGTGCTTGCTCCTACTTTGCACGTGCGAGAACATTCGGCTCGCAGAGACTCACATGTCGTGTCAAAATTCGTTACAGTATTTCATCACCAACTCCCTCCGTTTCCAAGCCGTGTAGTTCCACTGCTGCTGCCGCAACTGCCGTGGTTGCTCTTCGCGTGGTGGTTGTTGTTGCGGAGGTGGTGGGTTTGTTGTCGTTCACGTTCATCGTTAAGGTCCCTGTATATACTTATGCCGTCATGCGACAATCTACATTGCCGTCATACTACAATCGGCTCCAGAAGCCTGTCAAAAAGTTAGGCTGCCAAGCCTCATGTCAGAAGTCTGAGCCTCTTATTAACACGAGGACCAGCTTCGCAATCCCGCTCTGCAAATCGAGAAGTTCGGTCCCCAGAGGCCCAAAACCCCAACAAAAAGCTTTAAACCCATGAAACTTACACTCCTCGCCTACATCCTACACCAAAAAAGTTCCCAGAGCCCTAGCCTAACCCTAAACCCTAAACCCTAAACCCTAGATCCCAAGGCATGATGCGGGCATTTCGCAGGTTTCCTGTTGCCAAGGCAGCCAAGGCCATCGCCCCTTGCAAGGGGCTACGGGTTGTTTGGTTTAGGATCTCTCTGCTTTTGCATTGGGTTGTTTTGGTTTAGGATCTCAGTTTTTGCTTGATCTCAGTTTTTGCCTTGGGTTGTTTGGTTTAGGATCTCAGTTTTTGCTTGATCTCAGTTTTTGCTTTGGGTTGTTTGGTTTAGGATCTCAGTTTTTGCTTGATCTCAGTTTTTGCATTGGGTTGTTTTGGTTTAG